TGAAAGCATAAAAAATTAATTGTTTGTTTCTTTTACTTCTCTTTAAAAACTATGTCAACTTAATTGCAACAGTCATAAATAGAGGCATAATTATACAAATGTGTATTTTTCACACAACTGGTGCCGCAGGCATGTGGATTAAACAACACAAAATGTACTTACTCTTTTTGCTTAATAAACCTCTCATTAAAAAATCAAATTGCAAATTTTTAGTGTTTTAGCATTCACATGAATAAACAAGATAGTTAGAGAAAACCCCAAGCCATCGCTCCTGTTGATCTAATAAAGATTTCTTCTTTCCTCTGTTTTTAAATGCTGTACAAGATTAAAAATAAATGTAAAACATACATTGCATTTAAAGTACTGGTTAGTTATTAGTAATAACCGGCTGATTGTATCTGGCACAGATTAATTGAGTTAATTGCTGCAGATCGCAGGGTATTTCGTTTTTCCTAACTGAACCAAAGCCCATCATCTCAAAGCAGTCCGAGTTTTACAAAAGGGGATTCTGAGATAATGTGCCAGAGGGGGAGAAATACTTTTAAGAGAGAACGTTTATGTTTTATTTTCCGGCAAATTAATGAATAACTCCTAAAAAAGTGGGGACCTTTTTCCTGCATGAAAGTGGCCAGATTTTTAGAAGGGGATTCAAGATATTTGCGGATTTTGTCTGCTGGTTTTATGTACAGTACGTATCTACTCCGCGCGAGCATTTCCATCATTGTTTCATTCTGCTTGTACCGCAATGGTGTTAGAGGCCAATGTCTCTACAGTTGCCCTTTAGATACCTTTATGAGAAAAGCAAGTCCTTCTTCAAGGTTTGCATGTAAATCCAAACGCAGACACAGTCCTAGTACTTGCTGCAGGGTGTAGAACATCTTTTCTTTTTTTAATTACTAAATGGTGATGCCACAGTCTCTCGATATTTCAGGACGTCTCACCTTAACTGATGCTGCTGGTAATTAATTGCTAAGGGATTAGAGGAGCTGGTTTGTTTGGAAAACAACACGGAGAGGTGCACTTCAGTGCTGATCTTCATTCCACCCAGCAGCCAAAGAGCGAAAAGGGTATTTTGTGTTAAACACCGTTTTGGCAGCAGGCTGTTGTTGCCGCCGTTCCACTTGGCCATTTCAGACTAATAACCACGTGACGTGGGCAGTGCCCAGCCCTCCAAACTTGATTATTGAGAATGCCGATCAGCCGCAGGGAGGATGCACATTGCAAATAATTGGCCTAAATTCCTCCTGTTAAATATTCATGTGTGTATTCTGGCAGCGGGCTCCTCTGGGAAGTCGATGCGCATCCTCGTGCACACTTTTATTTGTCACGAAGAAGGATCCGGCACTTCAGACACATTAACTCAGGTTCGTGCCACAACACTCCCAGCCCCTGCAATTGAAGGCATCGCCGCTTGACTATGCAATGGGACCGAATGATATGCTGAATCCCTTCGAGAATCTCCCTCAAAGTCTCATGCTGGGCTGCCGCAGGGTGTTGCTGCAGTGTGTGGAACATGTGTAGTAGGCCGTCTCTGTGGAAAGGCCGCACTCGACACCGTAGCGCCTTTGGTCCCCATCGCAAGACAGAAGGGCTGTGGAGTCCAGTCAGCAGCACCTTGCACCTTTCTTTTTATTTCCAATCTGTTGTTCCATCAGCTAAGGAGATCAGCATCCTGAATTATCTTGAGATAAAAGTCCTCCGGTCTCTTGAAGTACTTCTGTATCTTGTCCTGTCTTTCTACACTGACTGGAAGCCTGATGAACGCAATAGTGAATTGGGCATCTCTTATTCTAAGATCTGTAGATTCTGCATTATACTCCAGTGCTTTTGAAAAGGACCGTACCTCAATGTGCATTCTGCAATTTTCCTCAACTGATCAATAAAGCATCCATCAATCACTATTCCTTTATAGAGATGACTCTTCTATAAAATTATTAAAACTGACAAAGGCACAACTCCAGGCGTTAATGACGTTTGATTCTGGGAATCTTATTTTCTTGAAAGTGTTGTCCAGACCCTTCTCATTTTCATCTTCTGTTCTGCTACTGTTCTCAAGGCAGGACTTTAGTAGTCAGTTAGAAAAACAAGTCTTGGCTGCCCATGCCTGCTGCTCCTAATTCTTGAGCGGATCTTGAATAAAGAACAGTGTAATTTCTGTGTAGAACATCCTGTGTCACTTGCTCTGCGTCATCAAGATTTAGGTTTCATGTTGAGCTAGATGTATCTCTTTTTAATACTGTAAGTATTATTGACAGAGGCAAATGGTAACAATATTCTAATCTTCTGTAGGCAGCAACGCTTCAGCATTTGTACAAATTCTGCCTTGTCATAGAAAAATGTAAATTTTTTTTAGATGTATCTATAAAATACCTGTACTGCCCTAAATTTGATGCATTCACTTCACTATCTTCCAGGACAGTTAACACACAGGCGCATCACGTTCAAACAAATCTCCAGAAAAATATCTAAACTCAATTTCAACTACTAGCTGAGAACACAGTGTGCCTTTCATACTAAGATCAGTTTGTTCCTGGCTGTCACGATACCAATCTAATTGTAAAGGTGAAGGTAATGGGCACACTTAGAACACATGAAAAAACAAAAAAACATAGAGTCATAAAATTAATAGGACACTTTCTGCTACACAGCCAGCATATACAGTACTTGGCTTGTGTATATCACCTTTTTGTCTAGACACGGCTCCTGAAAGTGCCTGGAGATAAGAGGATGGGCACTCCTGGTAAGGCAGATTGGCATGGATTCAGAGCCTTCAGTACAACATTGCTTTGGCATGTCAAGACATTAAACACCATCCGGCATCAGATCTTGCTGTGCAGTGTTTCCAATTTGGAGGACATGTTATTCTGTCTCTGCTGATACTGATAATCCACGTGGAGTTCCCTGTTCAGCCTTCAGGCTGAGTGAAGACACCAAGCTGTACTGTTTCTGTTTATTTCTATCCTCTATTACGAGAAATCCTTTCTTTTCTTTTATATTAAAATCTAAAGGTGTCACAAAGCAATTTTTCTTCTGCCTCTCATAATCTGAGAGGCACATAAATTGATGCTATTATCGGGGCAGACATTCACAAAATCGTCTGCCCTCACCTTTTTTCTGTGTACGGGGAGGCTCACTGCTCAATATTTAACTCATGTTTAATTTTGAAGTTTGAAATTATTTTTATTTAATATCCAGCTGCAGTGTAGGAGCTGGAATGGACATGATATATCAGTTTTGGGGTCTGAAATTGTTTTGAATGTGAGAGGGCAGTAGTGTAAAAACTGGCACTTTAAAAAAAAAACATGCCACAGTTATGATGTTTAGGAAAACACTAACACTTGAGCAGCAGCACCCTGCCATCAGCTCTTTTATATCCAAATTACTGCTGAGATATTTGGTGCAACTGTTAATTATTCAAACTTTAATGACACCTTAAAGCTATAATTGCATCTGTAGCAGACTCGTGTTGGGGATCCAGTGTTTATAGAGCGTGAACATGGTTTTGTCTTTCCACACAAATACCAAAACAAATGGAGTGATCAATACATATTCAGTGCAGTGCAGACGCCGAATCGTTCAGTTTTAATTGGCAGACCTGAAAATGTCATTTTGGTGCCCTGTTCCTAATTGGATGAGAATGTGCTAATGGACATCGTTTCTTTGGTTTAAAAAAATGATGGCAGTGTTTCCAGTATAATTAGGTTTTCAGCCACCCACACCTGTACTCTATTTTAATGTTGCAGCCCGTCACCCTTGAAAATGAACGTGGCCACCAATTCAACATTTTTTTACACTCTAAAATAAAAGCGACACGAGCCACTGGGCTGCGCATGTTTTTTTTGGGGGGGAGGAAAATTTTATTGATTTACGTTTTCAAAGGCAAAACTAACCAAGACAGAGGAATTGGTCAATGCTTACTTTAGACACAATGAAATGGGGGGGAGGAGTGCTAAATGGGTTTTGAAGGCTAGAGGAAAATTCCTCTGTGAGCAGCCACCGTTTCTAGCCCTGTCGGTCTTTTATCAGACGGAAACGATCCTCTCTGGGCTACTGCTGAGAATCCATGTAGACAACTGAATGAAACAAACCGATCCTTTTCTAAGCATTGCCGTCCCATCGGTGTGCACTCATTTGACAGAGTTGTATAAACCTCTGAGCTTCCCCTTCGCATTCTGTAATTATCAGTTAGTTATGTAACTGTAGTTAGCAGCTCTGATCTAGATGTGAACAGTGAACTTTCCCCAAGATTCGCACACTACTGGGCTGAGCGGAGGAGATCAATATCTTAATCAGCGTCTGAGAAACAGTGTCATGAAGGTTTTTTATAGTTAAATGCATGTTTAGGAAAAGAGAAGTCACAACCATGTTTAGAGCTATCCTAACACACGGGCCTATCGAAAAGAAAAGTATAACTGCTTATAGTTACCCAGAGATGTATATAGTATGCTGACTCTCCAGATTTATTAAATGGATGTAATTCTTCTTTGAAAAACGGCAGCACTGACGGAAATAAACAATCAAGCCACCAAAACAATTTAAAACAAATTAAATTAAAGTAGTTAACCCCCCTTCCCCCCCAAAAAAAAAAAGTTCTGGATTTTCAAAACCTCTGAAATATGTTTTTTCAGATTTGGCAAAGATGATTTTATTTCAGTTTTTATCCTCACTTATATTGAAACAAAGAATCAGATACGAGTCGGGTCATTTTTGGAATAATACATTCAGGTACTTGGCTAATCCAAGCTTGGTCAAATCCATCACTCGGATACCTGATATCTTTCTACAGTCTATTAGCCAGCTGGTGTTAAGGAAAAGACATTTTTTTCTGGTTAAAACTCTATGCATAACAAAAAACACAGACAAAATTGTGTCCGCACATATCATCTTACCATGGCCATAACATTTTGCAAGGCTTTAAGAGGAGTCTCTTGACTCAAGTCATGAGATAGTGGACATATATAAGACGGCCTTGGCTACCTGGCAGAAGGTAAGCAGGAAGATTCGAATTGCCTGGCCTCCTCTCTAGCAGAATGCAGAAGGTGAAAGATATGTCTGTTTGTGTAGGTAAGTAACCTCAGGGCTTTTAACAGAAAAAAAAATGTTTTTTATCTCTGCACTAGACAAGGCGAACTTGCATCCCTGGTAAATTAAGGGCATTCGGATTTCCGCAGAAGCTGCAGGTTAACTTGTTTCTCTACAACAACTTTCTTTCAAGTTGTATCAACTACAGTAGATTCTTTTTTCCCAGCTTTTCACCCGGTTGCTTTTGTGACGATGTGATTATGGGCAGCGCACGGATCTTTCCGCTCGTTTGATAAGGAAGAGCTGTGCAGAAGCCGTTGTTAACTCCTGACTGCCTTGCCACCAGATGAAAATGGTAGTTGTGTACTTGTTGCGACAGCACTAAAGGACTGCAGAGGAAATACAAGGCAGATGCCTGTGGTGTTCTTACTCTTCCGCCTCTTGCCTTTCCTTGTAGCGCTGTAGTACCCAAGATGCACTCTGGAATTTGGAGCGCCATGCAGCAATGTAATAAACTGTTTTAAATAAAACATTATTTTTCCAGGCTTATGGGCATAACCTGTTACATTTAATGAGCTTAATTACATTTCATTAAAATGCAGTGCTTTGCTTTTACAGCATGCTGTCCTCTTCCTTGTCTAATTGATTCTGCAGAAAGTTAGATACAGTATGTTGATTAAGGTGTTATCATACATCTGGGAAAGGAACGCATGAAACACCTTAGCAGGAGTATTGACTTCTGTGTGTCTGGGCTGCTTTAAGCCAAGCCCTTGAGCACAAGGAGCCCTGAAGAAGAGGGCTCCTCTAGGGCGTGTTGTGCGGCGGGTGACCTCAGGCCTACCCCCCTGTGTGTGTGCTCTCAGTTTTGCAGGGCTGCGTCTGGGCGATCCTCCTGTGGCCGGCCTGGGGAGCACTGGGCTACCCCCTGGACTGTAAGGACGAGCAGGGCAGCATCAGCCGCTGCTCCTCCATCTCCCTGGAGAAGCTGCTGGACCGGGTCATCCAGCACGCCGAGCTCATCTACCGCGTCTCCGAGGAGTCCTGCACGCTGTTTGTGAGTAGACTCAGTGCAGTCAGGACCGGTCGGTGCACCGCCTGCGCCCTGTGTTTCGTGCCAGCAGATTCTTACTGGTGACTGAGATAAACAGCTTCTTGTTTAAAGCAGTCTGGTTTTTTTTTTTGTATTTCTTAGATTTAGCTTCTTCAAAGAGATTGAAGAGGTCTGTCCCCTGAAAGAATAATGACAATGATTGCACGTCTCATTTGGGGAAAAAAAAGGGGCATTGTAACGTTTTATTGAGGTGCCCATGCGTTTACAAACTTAATTTTGCTCCTAATTTGCATGCAGTTTGTTACCAAGCAAAATTAATCTGAGTTTTATCTAATGATTAATCAGGCAAATTGTGTGTATTCAAATCTCAGCTATCACACAGCCTGCAAGTGAAGTGTCAGATCCAAGCTCTCGAAATTGGCAGTAAAATGCTCAATAACACAAGAGACAATTAGTGAAACGTCCCAAGTTCTTAAAACATGTGCAGAGCAGGAAAAATCTACAGATGTCTGTGGCTTCATATGGCTTCATCCAGAATAATAAAAAAAAATGAAAAAATTGAAAGCCTACAAAAGCCTCGAGTTTTGAGTTTGTAACAAGAAAGGTATATCAGTTGATCAGAATACCATAGAAGACTTTGAAATGGATAGATTACAAGGTTACAAGGTTACTTTTGCATGATTGTACAGTAAATGACATTGGAAGGCTAGAATGGAAACAGTATCAGTCATTATGTTCTTCTTTCCCCTTTTTGGGGTGTTTTTTGTATTCCAGGAAGAAATGTTTGTGCCCTTTACGATGCACTCCCAGAAGATTCGAGGCAGCAGCTCGTGCGTTACGAAGGCATTCCCCATCCCCGGTTCGAAAAGTGAAATCCAGCAGATCTCGGTGAGCAGATGGGAATTGAAACGGTCTTCTGCTGCGTTCGAGATGCAAGCGAGATTGTTTATCAAAGCATCCTGGACTGCGCTCTGCTCACAGCTTGTTCTCCGTAAAAAGCTGAGCATTGTCGCAGCTTAAAAATGTAGAGGGGTGTTTTGGATGAGATTCACATGCGAGTGTTTCGTTACTTGTGGGACAGCTGGGTTTGGACTAGGTTTGGGAATTGCTGTAAGGGAAATTAGAGGAAATTGAACGGGAGCTACTTTCTTCTACGCAGGGATGAATTTTGCCTGTGACCCATGAAACTGTTCAGCTTGGGAGTTCTCATAACATTTTGCCAGTTCTAATATTCCTATTGTAAACAATATATAGACTATTTCGAAAGTCAGATAGACTAAATGAAAGTGAAGCACAGTGCTTAGATCGTTGGGCAATTTGACAGTGTTTCAAAGAGCATGTGATTTTCACAGTTTGTAAATAACTTTAAGAATATTTCATTACGCAACAAGGGAAACTTTTTCATCAAGTGGTTTCGTGTTCAAGCTAGCTCAGTATTCGAAGAAAACCGTGGGAGCTACTCCAGCTCCATGATGTCTGTCTTTGATAAGCTGGACCGGCCTTTCCTCAAGAGTGCGAGCGCTAAACTGGCACAGCAGTTTCTTTTTTCTAAAATGAAAACATTTTCTTCCCTTCACTCGTGGCCGGACAGGTGCCTCGTTTAATTAAATTGGCACATGCGCCGGTTCACTGCAGAAGGAAACCATCTGTCCAGCACTGCGTGTCTGTGCAGATCCCAGTCTGCAGGTGCGCTGTAATAAGAGTCTTGTGCTGACTTGGCTGCGTGAGACCCAGGAAATGCAACAGCGCTATAAAGCCCTGCTCCAGAATTGATGTCACCCCCTTGAAAATCATTGAAAGACGCGTTAGCGTCTAGGGACCGGCGCTGCGTGGCTCTGAGCCAATGAGCGACTGCGCTCGAATCCCAGCAGGAGCAGGGCTGCGCTCGTCGCACATCTGTCACACATCTGTCGCACATCGTCGCCCTGCCGCCTGACCTCCCTGGGTTCGTGTTCCCCTGCCTGTCCAGGACAAGTGGCTCCTGCACTCGGTGCTGATGCTGGTTCAGTCCTGGATGGAGCCCCTGGTCTACCTGCAGACCACCCTGGATCGCTACGACGACGCCCCCGACACCCTCCTGAACAAAACCAAGTGGGTGTCCGACAAGCTGCCGAGTTTGGAGCAAGGCATCGTGGTCCTCATCAGGAAGGTACGTCGGCACCACTTGGGTGGCCCACACTGCGTTTTCGAAACACGGGACAGTCTACGGTCGGAACACAGCTAAGCCGTTCCTCTGCCCTTCCCCCCCTCTCTCTACTGTAAAGACAGTTTCCAGCAAGAGAGATGGGTGGAATGGCCTCCTCTTCATTAGCAAATGTTATGTTCTTATGAGTATGACTGGATTTTTACTCCTGGAATCACAGTGCAGTAACTTTCAGCTTTATCATTGGAAATGTTCTTATCATTGGAAATTTTCTTCAGACTGTACAAATACCTTCCTAAGCTAGGTACAACACAGTTATTGCCCTGTTGCACCAGCCATCTCCTTGTCCTATTTTATGGCACAGAACAAATTTAGTTTAACTGGCAGTCCATACACATCTGAAGCTTAAAATTGATTCCGTCCACAGATTTCTGTAGCAACAGAGGTCTCATGTATATATATATATATTTTTTTATTTCTGTTGGGACAGAAGTAAGTGCTCGATGTTTCTGGCTTCGCACTCATTATGCTTTTCTGAAGCTCAAATTCTCCCCGTGGACTTCAAGCGCAACGCCCCAATTGCGCCGTGTTGAAATTAGTCCCCGGCAAGGTTGAGCTGGATGTAAATCCTAGCAGTGCAAAGGCAGTGCCGGAGTTGGCGTAACCAGCTTGTTAGAGTTGAACGTATTAATTGCCTGTGCTTGCACAGGGACGTACAGAAGGTGATGTCTGACACTTTGAAATATGAGTCCCCTGCAGATGCCATAGGGGGCAGAGATTTTTGGTTGAAAAAAAAATGACACAGTTGGCAACCATATTGCCCCCTCCGTCTTCACAAACAGAAGAAACCTGGTTTTCCCAAGAGCCAGCACCTGAATTGGTCATTTGTGCTGCCATGCCGTCTTTAAGCCTGCTAATATTTTCAGCAGCACTTCTCGCGCAGGTTTGTGTTTTAACAAATAGTTTCTCTCCATCATGCTTATGTATGAATCCTCAGAACTGTCTGGGGGGAACTTTTAATTGGTACATAAAGTCATCTGGGTCTCTGGGACCGATAACATCAAAGTCTGTGCGCCAAAGAGTAATTTCCCTCCTGTTTTTTTGAAATGAAAATCAAAGTGCTTTATTACAAGTGGAAACTAGTGACTCCAGCGATTAATTAAAGGACTTGGGAAGTAGCTCACTGTGATGCCGGCTAGTTTATAACATCAATCGGTGTTTCGTTTTTACTTTTTTTTTTAAATCCACCTTGGGTTCCTATCTAATCAAGTCTTAGGAGCCGAGTTAGCTTGTACCTCGTGTCTTGAGGGGTACACCCACAGAATATAATTTAAGAACAAAGACGTAGATCAAAATGCTCACTTTCTTCACCGACACATTTAATTAAAGGAACTAGTCAAATTCCCACTTACTCTTGACAGTGGGAATTCTTGAATTTGATCAATTAGATCGTTAGCTGTGTGGTACATTTAATTGAACTTCAGAGTAATTTTGCTTGCTTGTTCACGGAAAATAGAATCTCAGAGCTTTGGTTAGAGCATAACTGCCTAGCCTGATCTCGTCAGCCTTCTGGCAGTAAGGAAGGCGGCTCCCGGTCAGTAATTGCATGGTAGATTTTCATGAAAGATCAAGATGCTTCCTCAAGTGGTGTTTGTGGACCAGTAGGTGGGGCCCTTCCTTATGCACCAGAATTTCCAAACAAATGGTAAAAACAATGTGCAGTTGGAGGAATCATCATGCTGATGAGATATAGAAACAAAGATCCTCATTACTTTTAAGTGTCCCGTGTCCCTGTTTGTTAGAAAAGTTGTATTAGTCCCAGTGACTTGGCAAGAGTCAACCATGCGCTTGCACAGTCTTGCCCCCCCTAACCAATTTTGAGACATCTCTAGCAGATCTACAGGTGTGTCGCCCAGGTGAGGCTGTACTTTAAGATCGGGCGGGATGGGTCGCATCCTCTTAGTGCAGCACTCTGGGATGCAGAGAGCCCTAAAAATACAAGCATGAGCATAAAATCATCTTCATCCCCATCATCTTCAATGTCCCAGTCCAGGCATAATAATAGCAGCAGGAGCTGAAGGCGTGGCACTGCTCCTACTGTAGCCAGGTAGTACAAAATGATTCCGATGATCTGAAAAATAGTTTCAGATGTTTTTGGAATGTCGTTCTAAGACAGCAGCAAATATATATATGTATGTATTTTTTAGTTGTTCAGGTGGGTAGCTGCGTCTGCACCCCACCCACCACACCAGTCTGCACACAGTGAGCCTTCCTCACACCTGAAGAAGGCTTCACAGCTGAAACATGTTTTCTCTCTTCTCTTTTCAGCCTGGAATAAACCTACTGTATCACTTGTTCCCATTTATGTTTTTAGTTTCTCTGCTTTGCTTGCTTGTGATACACAACATGCCTGTGGCCTAATGGGGGAGGTAATGAGCTTGTCAGAAACCAGATAATACCACCCATGTAGGAGGAGCGACAAATCAACTTATAGTCGGTTCTTGGGATTTTCCGGAGCAGCGTAGCGAAGTGGGCGATGAGCGAGGTGCATTACGCTAAGTTGTTGCAGTGCCCCCGGCTGTATCAATAGTGGGGGAGTAATCCGGCGTCCTGCCCGGGGCTGGGGGGAGGGGCTGGGGTCTCGCACTTTCTCGTCCGCTTCACGCCATTGGACCCAGGACGAGCTCTGGCCCAAACGAGCCGCTGTGGCGCGGATCTAGGAATCACCCGTTGCTATTTTCAGACGGGCAGGAGGGGGAGGGGGCCCCCATTAGGGGTTGGTTGGCTACGCTGGGAATCTTCAGACCCCTTTTCCCACCATTTTGTGATCTTTTCCGTGGTGCGCTAGATTTTTATTATAATATCTTCTTTCACTTATACAGCGCTTTTCTGGACACTCCACTCAAAGCGCTTTACAGGTAATGGGGATCCCCTCCACCACCACCAGTGTGTCGCCCCACCTGGATGATGCACCAGTACTCTCACCACACACCAGCTCTCAGTGGGGAGGAGAGCAGAGTGATGAAGCCAGTTCAGAGATGGGGATTATTAGGAGGCCATGATTAGTAAGGGCCAATGGGAAATTTAGCCAGGATGCCGGGGTTACACCCCTACTCTTTTCAAGATACTGCCTGGCATTTTTAATGACCACAGAGAGTCAGGACCTCGCTTTTACGTCTCATCCGAAGGACAGTGTCTTTTTACAGTATAGTGTCCCCATCACTATACTCGGGCATCAGGACCTACACTGACCACAGTGTTTGTGCCCCAAACTGGCCTCACTAACACCTCTTCCTGCACCAACCTTAGTTTTTCCCAGGAGTTTCCATCCAGGTAGGGACCAGGCTCACACCTGCTGAGCTGCAGTGGGCTGGGGCTGGGAGCTGCAGGGTGATCCAGCCGCTGCCTATATCTCCTTTTTTCGGATGCCAGGTTGGTCTGCCCACGGGTGTGCTGGGAGGCGCCGAAGCCAGGGTGGCCTGTCCTGTATCTGGCTCTATGTGTTGGTTCTGTCTTGTCCTGCAGATGCTGGACGAGGGGATGCTGACGTCCGATTACCAGCTGACCCTGGGGCACTACGACGTCCAGCCGGAGGTGGTGGAATCCGTCCTGCGTGACTACGCCCTCCTCACCTGCTTCAAGAAGGACGCACACAAGATGGAGACCTTCCTGAAGCTGCTCAAGTGCCGGCGTACTGACAAGCTGAGCTGCTTCCTCTTCTAGACTGCACGGTCCTCCCCTCCCCCCCGCCGATCTCCGAAACAGCACCGTCCCCGTCCCCCCCAGCGCAGAGCCAGGTCCGGTCGGCTCTCCCAGGCTAGGTTAGATCCACTTGCTTTCCTCAGGTCGCTTCTTAATGTCTACAAAAGGCTTCTGTTGCTGAACGCATGCCCCTGTCTGAGCAGAGGTAAAAAAACAACAACACAGTGAGCATATCTTCCAGCAATGCATACGTCCGCCAGCTGTAATGTTTTATGCAGACGTTTGTGAAATGCTAAAAAATTTAACCGCAATGATTTGGTGTTATAGCACATATGCATAATTTAAGCAGCCCGGCGACAGACATGATAAATCTGTAAAACAATTTGTAGCGGCTCTTATCCAACTGATCACGCGCCTGCATCATTTGCATATTTCTGTGATTCGCTCTGCGTTTTGTTTGTTGTTCTGCTTCTTGAAACATTCTCTTTCGAATCCTCTTTCACACACGGCGTTTCAAGATTTTATTGATCCTTCCCTCCTCGGTGCGTGCAGATTCATCTTTCTTTTGTTCTGGCAACTTCTACCAATAGTTAAGTCTATAAAAACTTTGAAGATAGGGACTTAGGAACAGACACAGAAACAAGCATCCTGGACCTACCAACAGGCAAGAGTTTTTACAGCCAGAGAAGAAATATTCAGGTTCATACAGTTGGACTGAGAATAAGACTGGATCTTTAAAACCTGTGGGGATGCTTTATAGTTGGAGCATTCACATTCTAATTTTAAATTCGTCTCTTTATGTCTAAACATGACTCATTCCTATACCATGAACGTGACTACTGAAGTCCACAGTACTTACTGTGAAAGAAGTGAATGGATGGCTCTATTTTATTTTAAGAATGTCTATGCATTCTAAAGAAATCTAGCACAGCAGCTGTTTTGATTATATTTAAATGCATTAAACCTTCATGCAATGCGAACTCTTTTGCACAGAGGCCAAGGAAGGTGAACAAAGTGGATTTTTGTGGCAACAGCATGTTGTTATTGTTTCCCATGGTTCCGTTCCTGCATAACAAGTCTGGGGCTTCATCTAACCCCAAGATTCAAAGTACAAAATACCTTTTCTACTCTTTCTTTACAATAGTAATAACAATTTCCGAGCACTGCCACAAAAACAGTTTACATTTGACAGCAGTTTTGAGAGAGACGTTGAATAATGACTGTAGATTAAGCCATTTAAAACATAAAACTTGTTTTATGACGAGTTATAGAGAAAAAATGGAACCCTGTCAACTGCCCTAAGTGTTTAGTTATGGTTTTGCAGCTCTTTTTTTTTACCACATTCTGCAGGCTGTTAGCAGGCTCTGTTTTATTAATTATAAGGCCGCCTCAATAATTTCAATGAGGGTTCTGAATCAGTTCTACTTTTCTGTTTAACCTTTTGCATTCATTTGTTAGTGAAGTACCATGGAAAGCAACATAATTGCGCCAGTCTGCAGTGTGCTTGCTGTAGGAAGGAAATCCACTTTGAGCTTTTTCAGTGGCCTGCTTTTATGTGCACAGTGCCCACCGGGGAAGTGTTCATCCTGCCCACTCTTCCCTTTCTTACAGTCGGCCATCTAACTAACCTGGATGTAATGCTCTCTTGTCGTTCGGCAACCAGCCGCTGTTTCTCTGCGTCCTGCATCCCTCCTCTGTCAGCTGGCAGCCCCTCATCCCCCTCTAGAGTTAGGGCTGAGTAATGCAACACATCTTGATTTTTTCTCCCTCCATCCCTCAATGTGTGTTTGCTTGGGTCTCATTCCCTGGTCCCCTCCCTTTCCCCGTCTCAGACCTCTCTCCGGCCTCGGGTCTCGTTTGGCCACATTAAACTCCAGCCCTCGCGGCACCAGGCCAGGCTCCCATGAGCCTCTCTACAGGTGAGGTAAATCCTCACCTGGAATCTCTTGGAGGTGATTAACGATAACGGCCCGTGTCGGCTGGAGGTGTCGATGCCCTCGTGTGGTCCCATCCTGGGTTTCAGCTGCCTCCTGAGGCTGACCTATCACACTCACAAGCATCTGTCTTGTCACTGTTCAGGGCTGCAGCGGAGGTACTGGCACTGCAGAACACCACAGAAGTCGACCTGATCAGTTACGAACCGCTGCCTGTCGTTTGAGCACACTCCATCTCTCATTGGAATGCTCGCCTTGCTATAGTGGCAGCCCCATCTGTCCCTGCCAGATCAGTTCATTTATTTATTCAGTTTGACCCTTTCTTGTACTGGTAACGGGCCAGCCTAATTGTGGCTTCGGAAGTAAACCCATTTCAGCGAGACGTTAATTGCTCGGCGGCGTTAACAGCAGCTGTCTACGTCCCTGTGGCGGAACAGCACTCACTTAATTGCTTGCAAAGTTTGTATATTTCTATGGCAACTTTAACTGTCCGCTGTTAATGAAAACGTGGGTTAAGACACAACACCACAGGCCTCCTGGAATCTGCTCCCTTCGGCACTCACAGTTCAGGTTTCTGAGCAATTATCCCATAGGCTGTCAGACGGACTTGGGTTTATTTTAGTTTCGTTCCTTTATGCGGCTCAGTATTCTGCCCCTGTTTGTTTTTAGTACATCAGATTCGTGACCCGGCTTTGAAAGAGCAAGGTGAGACATTTGTATATAATTTGCGAAACAAGGTTTCTAAGCTTTTAATAAGTTTTTCTAGCTGTGGACCGATTTGACACCAGATGGCCTGTAACACTGCTTCAAAATTGCCAGGGCATCTGTACAGCGGAGTCGAAACATTCATTTGAATTCTAGCTTTGCTGCAGTGGTAACTCCATATCTGAACATTTGCCTTTGATTAAATCCCTAGTTTTTTTTATAATGGTAAAACACCATAAACATTTTGGATTTAATCCTGTTCATTAAATCCCTATTTTTCATATAGTGATAAAACATCCAAGTACAAGGAGTTTTTAAACTCTGATATAGGTCATTATTTTGTAGAAACTCCTATAAGGCTGCAGTGAACTATAAAAATGCTCATGTCAAAAAACATTGACAACAGAACTACTATAGAGAAGCTGTTTTTGTAGGGGAGGGAGAGGAAATGTAGGTGTAAAATTCTTTTCAGAAGAAATAGTTTTGGTTGCAGTTATGCCTCCAGGTGTATCATGCAGATATATAGTATAAGTTTCCACAGAATGTCTCATCCCCACTGGGATCAGTTAAATACCTGTGGGAATTTTTTACTGCAATACTAGCAACATATGGCTTATGTAATGTAGAGTACAAAACTGATTTTATGGGAAATGGGATCTGGTGGAAAAGTCTGTGTCCGTCCAGTTTTCCACGAAATAGAGTGTGCTGTAAATATAGGGAATTTGTTTACTTTTATCATACCGCCAGACTATTTCAGAGTTTTTCAGGAAAACCTCCACTTGAATTTATAGGCCCCCACAGTTTCATTGTTAGTGTTGGTGGTCATTACTGTGATTATGCAGCCGTGTAATGTTTAATTTAACATTCTGTATGTGGGAGAGGAATAATAACTTAATGTATTGAGAAAAATACATTTCAGCATAGCTAGTGTTACCTGTATAATAATAATAGCTTATACTTATATAGTGCTTTTTTGGACACTCCACTTAAAGCTCTTTACAGGTAATGGGGATCCCCTCCACCACCACCAGTGTGCAGCCCACCTGGATGATGTACCAGTGTCCCACCACACACCAGCTCTCACTGGGGAGGAGGATAGAGTGGTGAAGCCAGTTCAGAGATGGGGATTATTAGGAGGTTATGATTGGTAAAGGCCTGAGGGACATTTGACCAAGATGCTAGGGTTACACCTCTCCTCTTTTCAAGAAACTCCCTGGGATTTTTAATGACCACAGAAAGTCAGGACCTCGGTTTTATGTTTCATCCGAAGGACAGCACCTTTTTACAGTATAGTGTCCCCGTCACTATACTGGGGCATTAGGACCCACACAGACCGCAGGGTGAGCGCCCCCTGCTGGCCCCACTAACACCACTTCCAGCACCAACCTTAGCTTTCCCAGGAGGCCTCCCATCCAGGTACTGATCGGGCTCACACCTGCTGAACTTCAGTGGGGCTGCCGGTTGTGAGGGTGATATGGCTGCTGGCTTTATGACTTAGGAATAATGTTACAATGCTTTATTTTTCAGCTTTCGTCTTTAGTTTTTAGGAACTGCTTGTGAATGTAAATGGCCTTGCTCATTCCCAGTAGCACTGAACTTGAACAATGTTGTTAATAAATGTGCATCAAGTAGTACTGTGATCCCAACAGAAGACTAGAGTGATCCAAAAGCACCCAGCGAAAACCAAGCCAGTACAGACTGTAACACTGTTAAAAAAATAAATAAATATGTTGCAAGTTATGCAAGCCTATTTTATTTTATTCCTGTTATGTCTTCATGCCAGCGAATACAGCACCATCTCTGTTCATAGTGTAACTCCAGGCCTCAGTCCTACACTACGGTCTCGGTCTGCTTATACCATCCTCTTTCTCCCTTACTGTGCTAGGATTTCAGAGCTACAGCAGGTGGCAGTAAAGACCTTCCTACTAAACTGTGACCCTGACAACAGTAGGTCAGTATGGGAACAGAACAGAAAAGGTAGCATTGGTTTCAGTCTAGGAGCCAAGTTTAGGTCTCAGTCTGTGTGTTGATATAAAACAACTGTAACTCATAGGGCAGGAGCGGACTGTTGCAGTATTGCAGTTTCACAAGTTGTTCTCTGACAGTACACATGTATCCAAAGCAGGCAGCTGTGTGGTATTAATTCTGAAGGTTTGAAGTATGATGAGTATTAAACTCGGCTCCAGATCTGGTGAGTTAACCTGATACAACACAGGCTTGATTGGAACAGGGGGAACTGATACTTTCTGACAAACTGACAAAGCCAAGACTAAAACCCCTTCAGTTCCCCCATCCCCCTGGGAAGACGCAGTGGATCCACCAAAAGGCAAAAAGCACAGGGTGGGAATAAAACAGAACTTACACAAGGAAGAAATAGGGAATAAAAACATTCAGAAACTTTCCCCCCTCCCCCTCGCTGTCCTCACTCTACTGATCAGAAGATATGAATCTGCTTTGGGTGTCGGAGACAATCAAATATCTCCACTCTGATCGTCTGGGAGACAGGATGTGGCCGTGGGGCTGAGTGTCAGCGATGTCAGGGGCGGTTTCCTGTGCTCTAATCATTCCAGCATGGCGCTCCTGTGCAGGGGAAGCCTTCCCAGGTCAGACGAGACCCCTCAGAGATGATACCTGGGGAGAAGTCGGACTTCATAGCCACTGTTTCCCTGCCTGCCCCTCGGCCCGCACAGTCATAAATATGAAAGATCTGCTGTGAGCCTTGGGAATGGAGGCCCGAATGATTTCACAGTCTGACTATTATTACCTCAGGACAGGAAAACCGGGCTGTGAGGGGGAGTGTGTGGACGAGGCGCAGAATTAGAGAGTGCGTAGACAGGAAGGCGAGAGAGATGGGGAGTGAAGGAGAAAGTGGGACTGCTCCCAGGCAGAGACTTTAAAAGAAGGAGTGTGAATTATGCAAATGCTCTGCTCTCTCGAGACGGCGAGGCAGGGCAGCGGAGCCTCTTCTGCAGTCACAGGCAGCCCTCTGGTTC